AGTGAGAAATACTTATTTATTTATGAGGGAGGACTTGGCTCAGAATCAGACTCTAAAGCCTATGTACCCTGTGATGGGGATTAAAGTTCACGTAGTTCGGGCTTAAAAGTTTGTTAGTGAAAATATTTTTGAAGAGAAATTAATTGAAAATAATTCACTATTTTACAAATAAAACAATTTCTAAAATTTTGATATATGTGTTTTAAATTACAAAAAGTAATTTAATTTTAATTATTTTCTCAATTTTTGAATTTTTGAAATAAAGAAAAGAAAAAGGTTTAAAATTATTATTTTTATATGATTGGAAATTTGACCGCTATACCTGCATAACCTTATTAGTTTATACGGTAATGCAGTTGTTCTAAATATCTGTGGAGATTTCAAAATCTCACACGATAAAAGAATTTAGCAATTTAATTTATTTATTTATATTCTTATGTATATTTTTAAGTATTAATAATAATTGTTTAAGCATGTATGTACATATTTTTAAAGAGTCCTAATCATCATATCTACAAAGCTTTATTAGCTTATACGGTAATATGATTATCTTAAATATCTACGGAGATTCCAAAATCTCACACGATAAAAGAATTACATTTATTTAAATATATCTTTAATTTTATTAATTTAATATATAATTTATATATATTTTTTAAAAACTTAATCATTATATCTAAGAGTCTTATTGACTCATACGATAATACGATTATCTTAAAAGTTTACGGAGATCTAAATATCTCACATGATCAAAAGATATAATCGGTAAATGTGATTACAATTTAAATACATTACTTTGGTTAATTAATTTTTTAAATTGTGTATTATATGATTATTTATAAAAATTATTTATTTATCATAGAAATTCAGAATCACTACATTTGCGAGGACTTATTATCTCACATGATGATACGATTAATTTAAGTTTCTAAGAAGATTCTTGAAATCTCACATGTGACTTAAATAAATTTTTAATTTGAATTATAAAAAGAGAGTTAACATTAATGATGGACCTTTGGAACCTATATTAACATATAAGTTTTACTCTCATATCTGTAAAACTTTATTGATTTACACGATATGAGATTATTCTAAATATCTGCAAGGATTCAAAGTCTCACACAATAAGAGGATTAAATAATATTCACTTTAAATATACTTTAATGTGTAATTATATAACGCATATTTTTAAATATAAAAATCTTAATCGTTATACCTGTGAAGCCTTATTGACTCATGCGGTAGTACGATTACCCTAAAGGTTTACGGAGTTTTAAAAATCTCACATGACCAAATGATCTTATCAGACAATATAATTATAATTTAAATTTATTAATTTAATTAATTAATATTATAAAAAAGTGTTTATTATTTTATTTACAAAAATTCATTTATTTATTTTAAATTGATAATCGTGACATCTGCGAGAATTTATTATCCTATACGATGATGTACTTAATTTAATTCTCTACGAAGATTTTTAAAATTTCACATGAGACTTGAATGTTTTATTGATTTAAATTATAAAAAGAGAGTTAATTTTAATGATGAGCTATTAGAACCCATCTTTAATATACAAGTCGAATCTTCATACTTGCAAAATCTTATTGATTTACATGATATGAGATCATTCTCAGTGCTTATGAGGATTCTTAAAATCTCACATGGCAAAATTTAAAAATGATATTTATGTTTACCATACAGGTGCTAAATGATGCACATATTCAAGAATAATTCATTCAAACATAAGATTTGTGGGAGCAACAAATTGGGAGTAGACCATTTCTTTCTTTCTTTTTGGCCAGATAATCTTAGATATTTGGCTTGATGTTTCAAAGATATTCAAAAGGAAGAAAAATAAATAAATGAAGCAGCAACATTCTTCCTTTAAAACAACAATTGCATAAACTTAAAGGGAAGCAACGTGGATCACACATAAGGCAACTAGTCACTTTAATGTCTCCATTTTGCAATTTGTGAAAATTAATCATAACCCACGTAGCTTGACAAGGCATAAAAGAAAACAGAACATCCATGACAATTCTAGAATCATAAGTGAAGATAGAAAACACGTTACTAGGTGCTTATCAGGAAGAGGAGAGGCAGACTCAAGAGATAGTTTCACAAAATTTTTTGATGCCCTTTCTAGTTCTTCTTTCTCTCCTATCCAGTTTTTTCCTCTCAGATCATTTTTTTCTGTCTCACTTGCTCTCTCTCTTGCTGATTCTAATCCTCTTGTGTCCTTTCCCACTTCGCCCTCTCTCTCCTCATTCGTTCTCCCTCCCAGTCCCAGCTCTCTCCTCTTTGGTTTTCTCTTGTCTGTTCCTCTCCGTCAAGTCCTCAACTCCCTCTTCTCTCTCAATCAAACATTCCACCGCCTCCTACTCTCTTTCTCGGTTCCTATTCAGCTGCCACTGCTCTCTTTTCTTTTTTGCGTGTATGCTCTCTCACTCTCGGTCTCCTTCTCATCTCTCACTCTCTGTCTCCTCCTCAAAGCCTCTCTTGTCCATTCTTCCCCTTCCAGACTCCTTCCAATTCTCTCATTTTTCTTCCTTCTTTTTCGTCTGGTTCTCGTGCCTTTTTTCACTGAAGCTTTCCTTTTCTTTGTTCAGGCTTCTTTTGTGCTCTGTTCTTTTCTCCGTGCTCTCTCTCTCTATAAGTCCTCTCATCCATTTTGAATGCTGTTTGCTTTTTCTTTATTTTTTTTGCCTCCATCTCTTTCTCGTTCATTCTCGCCTCCCATGCTCTGTTTTTCTTTCAGTTTTCTCATCCCCTTTTTTTACTATGTTCTGACGTGCCTTTTAAAGCAGAAATAGGGAAGAGCTAGCGTGTGAGGAGAGAGCTTATGTGCTTTACCTTTCTCATTCTGCTCTGCTATGCATGCATGCGTCCGATCTCCTTCTATGTTTTTCTGCTTTTCTCCGTGTGTCTTTTCTGCACGTTTGTCCTCTATTTCTCTGCATTTTTTGTGCTTGGCTGAGTCCTTTTAGAGCTGCTTTCTTTCTATGTGTTTTGTGTGTGCATGCTACTGTGTCTAGCTCAAAGTGTTTTCGTGACTGTGTGGCTATCTGGTTCTGCTTTTTTTCTTTTGCGCCAAAGGTGTGAAATCCTTTTTTAGTTTTGCCTATGCGTTTCACCCAGCCTTATATTATATTTTTTTTGTTTCCAATTTCTTTTTTTTAGATTAACACACACACACACACACACGTATATTTTTTTAGATAAAAAATAAGATTTAAGGAGAGAAATTTAACTCTCAAAAGTTGACTCCCAATATTTTTAAATGATTGGGATAATTTAGAAAATATTTTTAAAGATTTAAGCAAGATTATTTAAAAAAAACATAATCCCTAGAAGGATTAAATTTTATTTTTGTATTTTATATTTTTTGAAAATATAATCCAAAAAAAGATTAAATTTTATTTTTATATTTTTATATTTTCTGGTTATTTTTTAATGAACTAAAAGAAATAAGATCCTAGCTAATAAAAGATTATTTAGATTAAAATAAAATTAAAACCTATTAATTATTTTTTTGAAAATATAATATTAAAAAGGATTAAATTTTATTTTTTGTATTTTTATATATTTTTGGTTATTTATTATTATTTTTATTAAATTAAAAAAATGCCTGAATAAAATATAGTGTTCACAGTCATGTTAAACAGACTTTTGTTATGTATGCTAGTTTGATCAGAACAAAGCACACAATGGAAGTAGGTATTAATCATTTGAAGGCATATGAGAAAGTTGAGTAATTGCTGGTAGTGGAAAATTAGTGTTAAAGAAACTAAATAAGTAGGAGAATATTAATAAACCCTCTCACTAACCAAAGTAGAAACTAGAGCCGTTAATTTGGGCTAAGCCCAACAAGCTAATTCAAATTTGCTCGAAAAAAGTTAGGGCCGAGTTTAGAAAAATATAATTTTTTTATGTTCGGCCCTATTCAGAAGCTCGAATAGGCTCAAGAAAATTCGGGCCAAGCTCGATCGGGTTCAAGCTTGGGCTGAATACCTGAATAAAAATTTTTATTTTTATAAAATATATTAAATATGATAAATATTAATTAATTAATTAATTTTTAGGTTATTTTATACTAAAATATCATATATTTGAGTTCTATACATCATTTAAGTATAAAAAAATATTTTATATTTTTTATAAAATAAAATAATTAATTTTAAAGTGAAAAAATTAATTAAAAATAATTTTGAAAATAAAAATTCAGATATTTGAGCCGCTCGAAGCCCAAAGGAATTTGGGCCAGGCTTGGCTATTCTAGCTTCTTAGGGAGTCAGGCCTATTCGGGCCGGACGTATTCAGGCCAAGGCCAAATAGGCTTAGCCAGTCCAAATTTTCAGCTCTAGTAAAAATGGAGGATTTAGATTCGGTGACTGTACTTAATACAGACACTCAGTGTTTGTAGTATCTGAACCATTAAAATCTAAATTAACTATTCAGATAAAATTACTCATTTATTAATCTTAAGTGGGGTATAAATTTGAAATTGTTGATTTAGATTTCAACAATCTAGATACTACATGCATTCAATCTCTGTATTAACTATAGTTATTAAATCCAAACGGATCAGCACACATGCAAATTAAAGAGAGAGAGAAAAAAAAATAGAGAGATCAGAGCTGTTTGAAACTATTTTTATTTTATAGTTTTGAGAACTAGTGTTCTGCAAAATATGTTCTGAGAACAAAAAAAAAATAAAAATAGGTGTTTTTTTCATTTTCTCTTGTTCTCCAGAACAATAATCACAGAACACCTAAAAGTTGTTTTCATTTTTCTGTTCTTCAGAATAATATTTTATTTTTTTTGATCTCCAAAATACTTTTTAAAAATACATTACCAAATAATTTTTTTATTCTCTTATTCTGAAAAATAAAAAACCGTTTTTAAAACAGGTTTCCAAATAGGCTCATCATTTCCAAATGGGTGCACACGTGGCACGAGAGTCTGGGCTTTTCGCCTGTATAAATAGAGTGGCCTTCCCTCGTCTGCCCATCGAACCATGGGACACCAAAACAACGGAACACCTTACTCTCCCTGAAATCCCTCCATTTCAATCCATCTCTCCCACTTCTCGCCACTGCACATCTTCACCAGGTCGCCGCGTCTTTCACGCTAAAGGTACGTCCCATGTTACACTGAACATCATACAACTGTTCCCCGTGGTCCATGTATGCTCTATATATTTCGTGTTTTTAACTTTTGGATTCAAACACGCTATAAAGTCATGGGATTTTCTTCTCCCCTGTTTCTGAGCTCTCAGCTTCTTCTCCCTCGTCTTCCTTCCCTTCCTCCTCCGCTAGTTCTCCTGATTTCAATATTATTAGTTTAATACCTCTGAGCTGGTTTTTGCGTCCTCACCCCGGCCTAATTAAAATATCTTTGGTCAACTCTGCAGGTTCCTTCCTTTTCCTTTCTTTAAACTTCAATATGAATATCGTCTCGCTTTCTGTCTGCCGACACGTACCGCCCTCGGTCAATTTCCAGAGAGGACTCGCCATGGAGCCTTTCTTTCACCACCCGCGTAAAGACAAGGCCGTCGTCATACTCGGCGCCACCGGCACTGGCAAGTCCAGGCTGGCCATCGACCTCGCCTCCTGCTTCCCTCCGGCCGAGATCGTCAACTCCGACAAAATGCAAGTCTACCGGGGCCTCGACATCACCACCAACAAGGTCAGCGAAGAAGAATGTCGCGGCGTCCCGCACCACCTCCTCGGAATCGCCGATCCCGATTCAAATTTCACCGCCAAGGACTTCACCCGCCACGCCTCCTCCGCCATTGATTCCATCGTCCGCCGAGATTGCCTCCCCATCATCGCCGGCGGCTCTAATTCCTATATTGAAGCCCTCGTCGAGGACGACTCTGCGTTTCGGTTGAAGTACGAGTGCTGCTTTCTCTGGGTGGACGTCTCTCTGCCCGTCCTCGATCCATTCCTCTCGAGGCGGGTCGACCGGATGATCGAAGCGGGTCAGGTCGATGAGGTCCGTCAGTTTTTCGACCCGGCAGGAGACTACACGGCCGGAATCAGAAGAGCCATTGGACTGCCTGAGTTTGATGAATTTCTCAGAACAGAGGCCACGGTCGATGAAGGGACCAAGAGGAGGTCACTAGACGCTGCCATTGCGAAGATTAAATCCAACAATTGCTCGCTGGCTCGTCGCCAGCTTCAGAAGATTCATCGGCTTTACAACATGTGGAAGCGAAATATGTACCGCCTCGACGCCACCGAGGCGTTCAAAAAATTCGGGGACGAGGCAGAGGAACTATGGGAGACTAGCGTGCTTGCCAGGAGCCAGAGGATTGTACACAAGTTCCTCTACGACGACAGTCCGGTGGTTCCGACAGCCTCAGTAATGTCCTCGGTGCCACCGTATCAGCAGCCGAAGCAGGTGGCGATGGCTACTGCCTGTCATTAGAGACAGAGCATGGCAGAGCATCTAGAATCGTCATCAGTGAGATTGAGGCACCTCGTAATACTCCGTCTTAGATTATAAAATATTTTTACATATCAATAAAATTTATTAAATATAATTTATAATTTTATTTTTTAAAAATAAAAATATAAACTTTTAAAAATATTTTTCATTTAATAATTCATTAAAAAAATAATATTAAAAAGAAATAATATATAAGAAGAATAATATTAAAAAAAGTATCATTATTAAAATATTTAAAGTGTCTTATATTTTAAAATATTAAATCTTTTTTAAAAGTGTTTTATAATTTGGGACTGAAAAAATATTTATTATACAAGTACATAAGGCATTCTGAAATTTAATTTTCCTTTTTTTATTTTATTCTAGGGTGCAAATTTATCTGCATTGATGCACCAGACAGAAGAAGAAGAGCTCTTAAGGTTCTCTTATTTTGGTGGAGACTCATCAACGCACCAACGAAATTCGTTGGAAAGTGGGTTTCGTTGCCATCGAGAATCCTCCTTCGTTGTCTCTACTTCAGAAGAAGTTCATCAATTAGCTTGTTGCTAGCATTTTCTTCTTTTGTTGGTGACTTTTCTCTTGTACATTAGTGGTGCAGATAGAATATAAATTTCCGCCACAGAATTTAGTTTTCTTTTCGCGTCAGTTAATAGACTTATAGTAAAAGTTTTCTTACCTTTTGTAAAATGATCGACAGCTAATACTAAGGAAAGAGTTGTATTTTTATATGTGTATTTCACTAGGTCAGATTTGCACATTGTTATGTATACATGCATATATAAATTTTCAGAAAATCTCCTTACTTGAAAGTTAATTACCAGGAATGTGAATCACTCTGCTCTAACAGATAAAAGAACGCAGTCGGATGAAGAGTAAATATATAAAAACCAACCCTGGCTCCAGTAGTGGCTGTTACTCTGCATATGGCTATCCACTTAATTGATAAGGGAAGTATGTCATCTTAACTAGAGATGTCGAACTCAAATATTGGAATGCAATTGTGTTGGTAGCGTGACTTCCATCTAAGGGAATGTTATCTCGATTTGATCCGTATTAATTTGAATGCCTGTTAAGTGATCTGCTCATCGGATTGATGTACAGTAAGCGTAAAATAGCGGATTGTCACGGATGATATTTCCGTGACCGTGTAAAGACCAAGATAATGAACGGTCCGCTGGTTAGCCTCGCACAATATGGGTAAAGGGGGCGACATTAGCATTGGGGGTGTTCTGCCTCAGTCTTCGGACTGTGTGCACAACTGGTCGGGAGCTAGTGCCGCCTCCCTGATGAGCCTATGGCAGGGCGAAACCAGTGTGATCCGTACGTGGTAAGGCTTGTCCTGAGGATTATGGGGTCCTCCAGGACGCCGCACGGGCGCCGTGTGCTGCGCCAGACTCTCAGCCCGTGACAGGATGCTCACTTGCTAAGAAAAAAGTGGATACTGCTTTCCATTTACTGGAATTGGAAAAACGCTGTTTCTTCAGCTTCTTTTCACCCCTTTTTTCGGAGACGAGGAAAATGAGGTAGTTAACTCTGTTTACATTTGACGTCCGTACGGATAAGGAGCAACATGGAGATCCGTGCCCAAACGGCTGCTTGCTGGTGTTTCCAAGTCTTTATCGAAAGGAATATGAATCTTCCTAATAAAACAATATTTTGCAAACAAGATAGATACTCCATATACCCACTCTAAAAAAAGTTATATTTTCACGCAATCAGGGAATTCCACTGTTCACTCCTCTTTAATTAACAGTGTTATGTGACTTCTTCACCCCAGAGATCCAGATCCTTGAGAAAAGTGACAAATTCTCTGATAAATGTAAACAAGTTTTGAAATTTAAACCACTATAGTGCCTCAAATATTATAAAAGGTTGCATTTAAATTAAAAGAAGCATTTAAGTGGTGGCGAGTTTTTTAGTCTAATGTAGCATTGTAATTAAAGTGTAAATTAAACATGGATATTTATTCAAATTATTTTTCTTTTCATGGCTAAGGATATTATTTCTGGACCTTATTTAGTTTAAACCATCTGTTTATGAATTTTCACAGGATTTGACGCGCAATAATCTATTTTCTTTTCAAGAGTAAAATTCATCACTCATAAATGATATGCCTAGACCTAATCATCTAATTAAAATACCATTTTCATTCAACTTGCGACCAGCTGTTATCTTTTCCACGCATCGCTTATCGTTAATAACTTTTTTGTTTTTAAAATTCAGTAGTTTTAACTTTAATTTGAAATTAAACTAAGTTTCATGCTAAATTTTAAATCAAATCTTCCTTCTTTCTAAACTTCTGTATATGTTAGAAGTAGTATTCAATATTAATTGCCAGAAAGACAGTAGAATCAGTTCTTGATAGGAACAAAAAGGTGGCTCGTGTTCAGTGGCGGAGGCCGTGGAGCCACATTAAGCTGAGAGGAAGCAAATGCACCCGTTTAGTCTAGAGAATATTTAAAATTTGATTTACAAATTTTAATATTTGCATTCAAGTCTTTAAAAATTTAAACTACTTACCTTCATATTTTAATATTTTGCACAATTATTCTTAAGTTTTAAGACATTGCATTCACTGGCTTGGAGATACTACACTAGCTGCGCCACTGCGTATGTGCGTGCAACAATGCATTCACAGCAGCCCTATCAAAACACACAAATAAATAATTGTGTTTTTTTTTTTGCACAGAATATAAATTCAAGGAATTGATAATTAATGTGCTTAATCAATAGTTGCTGTTTATCAAACTCGTGCCTAACAACAACGCGTTCGATGCGTGTAAGTACCGTAAATATTCCTTTTATGGTCTTGGCCGAAGGAAAAAAGAAATTCCATTCACGATTCCGCCAAAAAATTTAAAAAATAAAAAGAAACTAAAAGTTAAGCTGTAAGTAATTTGTTTTCCGGCCAATAATTAAGTTGATGAGCAGTTGTATATGTTAATATGCCATGCATGGCCATTGGCCCGACCCCTAGTGGGGCCCATTTCCGGTCCTTTAAAATAATGATAGTTGTGATGAAATGGCGTCTCAACTATTTACCTTTTTTGAGTTCTGATGATTAATTAATCATGAGTAGAGTTTGCTCCCACACATGTAGCTATGTCAGGGGCTATGTGAGACTCTAGCAATATAAAGCAGGTCGATTATTTTTTTCGGGGGTGCTCAATCTATACACTACTAAAGGCATGCTTGTTGGAGGAATGAGGCGTGGCTTTGGGGAGGTTGAAAGGTGCATACAATTTATAATATATGTATATCCACACATACACATGTAAGTAACATACAGTACACTAAAAATGAATCTAGCTAGCCAACAGGGGAAGAATAATAATAATAATACTTGATGAGGATCAAATCAGTGATTATTAATGCGGGTGTCCATGTCAGGAAGGAGCCACAGTGATCAATATAGCGAGGTATATTAATCAATTCCAAGTGATATGATGGAAATGAAGGGGATGGAATGAATGGGAATGTAAGTTGAGGGTGGCGAAGTAGTGATGAGATGGAAGAGGAGGGGTAAAAGGGGGAGGAATTAGAATTACCCCAAGATATTCTTATTCCTTTTGCTTGTGGGGAATCTTGAAAGAGACACTAAACAGAAGAGCGGGTAGTTTATAATTTAAAATGATGGGACCAAACAAACCTCCTCTCCTCAATTCCTCTCCCTTTCCCTCTCCCTCTCCTTCATCTCATCTCACATGATTCCAACCAAATATATTCAACACAAGTTTGCCTTTATGCTCCCACTCACCGCCCCACTTTCTACACAAACCACAATATTACATCTAATTACGTCATCTTAAACATTTTATTACACCTCACTTCTTAATCAACCACCCACACCTCCATTCATGTTTTCATACTTATTTGTATTTTTAATACTGATAATTAGTTACAATTCAAGTTGTCTCCAGTTCTAAATATGACTCTTCTATGTTGAGATTATTATACATGGAAAATCGAGTCCTACTCCTTTCTAGACCACGGGAAAAACTCTTCAGATTTGGTTTGAATGTAAGGAAAAGTCAGGGAAAAAGAACAGGAGAAAAGAAAAACTAGGAGGAGAAGTTTTCAAAAATAGTGTGTGTGTGTGTATTTACTATTTTTTAAAATTTTTCTCTCTTCATGTTTCTCACCATCCAAATGAAGGATTAGACTTGGTTTGGATGAAGAGAAAAGTGAAAAAAAAAAAAGGAAGGGCAAGAACTGGAAGAAAAGATTTCTAAAAATAATAATTTTTCTTTACTATTTCTAGAAGTTTTCTTTCTTAATTTTTCTTTCTCCCTATCCAAATAAAAGGGTCAGGATTTGTTTGGATAAGTGGGAATGAAAATAGGAAGAAGAAAAAAACTATGATAAAAGACTAAAGAAAAAAAAATATTTTTCAACTTTTTTGCCCTTTAGAGAAGAGGAAATTAAAGCTAAGAAAAATTATATTAGGGAGAGAAAAGCGTATTTTTCCTCTACTTGTTTATTATAGTTTTGTGTCTCCCTCTTTTCTTGTCATTTCAAATGAAAGATTACTGATCCGCACCAAAATTGCGGCCAAAAATTGAAAAGCGGAACATATTTACCAAAAATTGAAAAGGGGAACGCACGCACATAAACGAAAAAGGTGAAACAAATTAAAAATTTCCATGTATGGTCAAAATCAACTTTAGTAAAGAGTGGGGGCATAGTCGCCTGGCTTTGCATCTCACATAAAAAGGGCAAAAGATAAAAAGGAGAAAGGCGATTTTTGCCCCCATTGCTTTCCTTCCTCGAGCATCTTGGTCCACATCAACGCAAATAGAATATCAATTTTTCCCAAAAGCTGCCTTTATAGTTACTAGCTAGTAATGCTAGAATATAATATATGGTTTCGGTTCTTATCGGTCCCGTAAAATCGTCCATGCTTAATATATACCTCAAAGCGTGCAAGTTCATTCTATACAACTATATACAAGTCTATATGTATGAAAACGATTTACAATTACACCGCTGCTAGTAATTAATATAATATAACTAAAAGTGTGCGACTAATTTACTCTATACAGGCTCCTTTTGCATGATATTTGTGGAATATTATATGTAAGAATTGCAACTAACATAGTATAAATCTGTGTGTATGTCATTGTTACACCAATGGGGTTTGCAAAAAGTGATCTCTATGGGTCTGTACAATGAGCGATATTAAAGTATTTTAAAAATTTCATATCGATAATTCACTAGTTAGAAGTCATGTTATACAACTCACCCTCAGCTTTGTGAAACTACCTACGTACTCATCCCCACTCCTTTTTCTTCGGTTTAAAGCAACTGAAGATAAACACTATGCCACTCAAATGTGTCATCTTAATTCACTTAGATATAGAGATACTTGTGCAAATTAATAATTAATTAAACCGATATTGTGTGCATGCATGTGCATTCAATATTTCCAGCGTTATTTATAAGACTCTTTTAATCAAATTACATGGGATTAAGGAAAGGGGTTAAATTTAGTTAAGATTCTTATTTTTTCAAAAATTTCTGTGATATTCTTTAATTACCCTTAATTTTGTAAAATTATTAACTTTGGCTTTGAATCTTAAAGTTAAACATGCCATCCAAGAAACCAACTAGATATGTACGGATAATTTTAAAAATAACTCATTAATACTTCATTAATTTTTATAAAATATTTTATATTCAAGACTATATAAAAATTTTAAAAGGTGTAAAAAAAATGCATACAGTCCTG